TTAGGGCCTGGTACTTCTTGTTGCCCCCTCTTCTCACAGAAACTGCGTATATGTGGGTGAAACACATATACTCAATGCTCACACACACTCATGTTTGTCTGGACTCTATAGATTTCCAATTCAAAATAACACTGCTTTAATGTCAAAAACTTTAATCTTTATTTTGAATCTAACAGGGCAAGTTTAGTCATTAGTGTTCTTTTTCAGAAAATTCTAAGCTGTTCTCACATATTTACACTCTCTCCTAATTTTAGCATCAACTTGTTAAAAAGAGAGGGAACACTACGCTTTTAGGTTTAATTCTTTCTGTCTATAGACTATTTAGGGGGAAAACTGGCATCTTTACAATACTAACCGTACCCCTTCAAGAATACAATATGCCTTTCTCTTTCAATTCCGGTCTTATTTTGTCTGTCAATCAAGTTTTATTGATTGTGTGTATTTTCTATATTTCTTATGTTTCTTCTTAGATTTTTATGAATTATTGCATGTCGGATCTTTTCTAGTTGGTTGGTATGTAGAGATACTCTTGATTTTTTTTTATACGTACCTCATAACACTGGGGGCACAGTGTGTAATGTTTTGAGTTGTTAAACAAAATGTTGATGGTTCAAGTTCATCAGGATGCTCCTTGAGAGAAAGATAGGCAGCCTCCTCCCACAAAGGTTTATAGCTTTGAGAACTGACGGTCTCTATGAGCTGCAGTTGGTGGCAGTGATTTTGGTCCATGGTCTTCGCAATCACTTGTTATGCATCAGAGAGTTGGACAATGACCAAGGAGGATAGAAGGAGAATTGATGCCTTTGAGCTGTGGTGCTGGAGAAGAGTACTGAGAATACCATGGACTGCTAGGAAAACAGATTTGTCCTGGAAAGGGTTAAACTGGGTGGCTCCTTGGAGGCAAGGATTCTGAGGCTCCGTTAACATACTTTGGACGTGTTGTGAGGAGAGACCGGTCATTGGAGAAAGACATCACGCTTGGGAGGGTGGAGGGACAGTGCAGGAGAGGAAGGCCCTCTATGAGGTGGATTGATTCAGTGACTGGGATAATTGGGATGGGAGTGTCAGAGACAGTGCGATTGGCACAGGACAGAGCGGAGTTTAGGGCTGTTGTACATAGGGTCGCTATGAGTCGCAAGCAACTCGACGGCACATAACAACAACAACATCCTGTTCTCTCACTCCCTCATTCCCATCAAGATGGACTGACTCATAACTGACCCTCCACCAAGTTTTCCAAGGCTGTAAAACACACAGAAAGGGATTGCTCGTCTTTTCTCCCTTGGAGCAGCTGGTGGATTCAAACCACCTACCTTAGGGTTGGCAGCACAGCTTCTTACCCACTAGGCCACCCGAGCTCCTTCTGGGCCACCAGTGTTCCTCTTATGTTGCTACTTTACTAAATTCTTTGGTTTGCTTTAATAGCTGTTCAACTGATGCTCTTAGATTTCCTAAGTGCAAACCCAATTTTTTTCTAATTAATGAAGATTGTGTTTCTTTACTGCTAATATTTATATTCATTCCTTCTTTTCTCTATTGCATTTTTACCTTCAGAATCATGCTGATTGAGAGCAGTGATAGCAGCTTCATGAGCAGCTTTCACAATTCTCTCCGCACACAGATTATCCATCTGGAAATACCTATGAGTCTAGGAATAACAATTAGACATGAATACATCAGATAGGAGCAATTAGCGAACAGCTTGAAGATTGCTGCCCTTACGCCATGAAACTCCGTTGATTGTTAGGTTAAAGGAGCAGCATTTTGATTGTTAGTATCAGTACCAAAGAGAAGCGCCCTTGTTTTAACCTCAAAACATGATTCCAACATCCATGTGGACATACTAACACATCCTGATTTCCCATAGCATTGCTGGGCTTGCTGAAGAGAAAAAAAGACATATGCTTATCAAGCTTTTGTAATATACCAGGGATTATGCTGAGAGCTTTAAGCATATCATTTTATTTTACCTTCACAATCCTGTGGGTTAACAGCACTGATAGCAAACAGAGGCTAAGAGCAGTTGCATGGACGGTCACACTGCCATCACTTGAAAATGGTTCATCATGCTTTGTCTCAGCACCTTCCCTTTGGATATGGATAATAAGTGCATGATGTTCCCTCTTAGACTAGCACATTATGTTCCCTCCTAGACTAGTACATTATGTTCCCTTTTAGATGACTGAATTATGCTGCCTCTTAGACAAGTACATTACGTCCCTTCTTAGACTAAGAAGTCTCCAAATGTTTTAACCTACTCCACACTTGCTGTCAAGGACCTGTTTACAGTACTAAAGAGTAAGGATATCAGTGTAAAGACTAAGGTGCACCTGATCCAAGATATAGTATTTTAAGTTACTTAGTGTACACCAGGGATATGTCCACTCTCCATACATTTTCAACCTATATGCAGAATAGATCATCCAGGAGGCTGGGCTCTATGAGGAGGAATGTAGTATCATGACTGGAGGAAGTCTCATCAAAAACCGGCGTAATGCTGATGACACAGACTTCCTTGCTGAAACTGAGGAGGACCTGAAGCACTTGCTACAGAGGGTCAAGAACTGCAGCCTTCAATATGGATTGAAGCTTAACATCAAGATAAAGATTCTCACCACTGGGCCGACTGGCGATATCATGATGGACAGTGAAGAGATTGAGATTATTGACAGCTTTAGTTTGCTTGGCTCCACAATCAACACTCTTGGTACCAGCAGCCAGGAAATCAAGAGACGAGTTGCATTGGGAAAGTCAGCTGTCAGGGACATCTCCAGAGTATTGAAGAACAACAATGTCAGTCTGGAGATTAAGGTGTGCCTGACCTAGACCATGGTCTTTGCAGTTATATGCTATGCATCAGAAAGCTGGACAATGACTAGGGATGATAGAAGGAGAATTGATACTTTTGAGCCATAGTGCTGGAGACGAGTACTGAATATACTATGGACTGCCAGGAGAACAAACAGATTTGTCCTGGAGAAGGTGAAACCAGACTGCTCTTTGGAGGCAAAGATTCTGAAGCTCCAACTGTCATTCTTTGGACATGTTGCAAGGAGGGATCAGTCCTTGGAGAGGGACATTATGCTTGGGAGGGTGGAGGGACAGCACAGAAGGGAAAGACCCTGGATGAAATGGATTGACTCAGTGACTGGGGTAATGGGGTAGGTGTGTCAGAGTCAGTAAGGTTGACTCAGGTTAGAGCGGAGTTTAGGGCTGTTGTACATAGAGTCGCTATGAGTCACAAGCGACTCAACGGCACATAACAACAACAAGTGTGCATCTGAAATTTGCACAATGAATAAGGCTGACAAAAGAAGATTGATGTCCTTGTGTTGTGGTATTGGAGGAGAGTGTTGATTGAATACCACATGAACTGCCAAAAGAACAAATACGTATCAGAGGAAGAGCAGCCGGGGTGCCCTGCAGAGGTGAGGATGGCAGGACTGGGTCTCAGATACTTTGGACATGTTGTTGCGAGGCATAAGTCCTTGGGAAAATCCCAGGAAAGGCAGACAGTCAGCAATAGAGAGAAAGACCCTCAACAAGATGGAGTGACTGCAACAATGGGCTTGAGCATGGTGGATACCATGATGATGAGGCAAGATAGAACAAGGTTTGGATCAGCTGTTTACATAGAGTCCGAGTCCTAGTCAGCTCAGTGGTATCTCACAACCACTCCATGCCGTGCCTGCTGACCGTCACCATTCCCCAGCCAAGGCTTAAAAGACCACCTTCCAGGAGTGAGACGCAGTGAGCGGGAGGAGCTGGTCTGGTCATACCATCAGGCCAAAAGCCAATGACAGGAATTGCAGGGCAGCAGGTCTACCAGTAGACCTACTACTAGCTAGCAACTCCAAGGAGACATACAGTTGGGTCTAGGGTGTGCCAAGGTCAGTACAGTGTCTCCTGTGGGCATGTGAGGGAAAGAGGAAGGATGACCAGAGGTTGGGGACTGGAGTGGGGACAAAGACGATGAAAAGAAAAGCAGTGGGAAAGGAATGGAGACAGGATTTGGAGTGACCATAAGGAGGGGGCAGTCCCAGACCTGAGTCCAGGTAAGAGCTGCGAGGACTGAGTCCTAGAGCTTCAGGACTCATCAGCCACTCCACCCTCTCCATGGACACTGAGGACGATGGCCACAACCACAGTGTGAGTTTGTATTTCCATCCTCCAGACTATAAAATGTGGCAGCAGGATCATGACACAGAGCCAGGGGAGCCGCCCCCAGATACACACAGAGCAGGTCTGCAGACCCAGAGCTGGAGATGCGCACATCGACATAAGGGTGTGAACACACACATGAAGAGACACAACCTAGAGACCAGGATGCAGACACGTACACACAACAGAACATTGATGCAGACACTTCCTAGCCCAGAATACGAACACGGGCTAGGGAGCTGCACACGTGGAGAGACTCATATGCCCACACGAACTCAGGAAAGGAGTCAAGGACTCGTGTACATGTGGGTGCACACACCCACATACAGGGAGACACCCGGACGGTGTCGAGGGACGATGGAGAGACAGACAGATGGCTTGGCTGCATGGACAGACTGTTTCTAACCAATCAACGTCTAGTGCCTGACCCTTGAGGGGTCACAGCCGCTGCCCACCCGCCCACCCACCCGACATGTGCCTCAGAAAACCACTGGCCACCACCTAGTACTGATTCCCAGATCCCCTCCCAATTCAGGAACACACGTGTGCTGCCCAGGTCCTCCTGACACACGTATGCGTGCCCCAACAAGCTGGCGCTCCACCCTTGGGGGGCTGACATTCCCATTCTAGGGTGCAGGTGGGGGCCATGGGACAACCTCCTCCTGCAAAGGCCATAAGCTGGTGCCCACTGGCAGGGACAGGGGGCCTAGGCTGGCCCAGGCAGAGGGAGGGGCTGGGGGGAGCTGGGGCGCGGCTGGGGCGGGCACAGGAGCCGGTACCTGTCAAACAAGAGCCAAGGAGCAAACTAGCTTCTTAGTCACCTTTTTCTTCTCCCCGTTTTTTGGCAGCAGCCCCTCAGGGCAAGGGGAAGCTGATATCATAATTATTGGCTCACCCGCAGCTGCCTCCCCTCACCTGATGTCAGCACAGACCCGGGAAGGCCAAGCTGACGACTGACAGACGGACGGAGCTCCTGGCCCTCCTGGCCCCCCAGCCCCGGGCCCCCACGCCGACCTGCTTCACTGAGCAGGTAAGAGGAGACCCGGCCCAAGTCAGCCGTGGAGGCCAGGAAGGCCGGGCTGGGGCACGGGGATGGGTCTTGCCTTTTTTAACGGGTTTCTGGGCTGTCTGGGGTCACCTGGGTGCTCCCTGTCTTCTCAGTGCAGCTCAAGGGAGACTTAGGAAGCAGGGTGAGTGCCTGGAAGCCTAAGGGGGGATACCTCTCCATCTATATATTCTTCCTTCTTATTCCTGTCCCAGGTTGTCTGACTTCAGTCCTTCTTGTTGTAATCTGGTGTTTGTTTATGTGTGTGTGTGTGTGTGTGTGTGTGTGTGTGTGTGTGTGTGTGTGTTGGAGCGAGTGCTAAAACAGGAAAAGCAGATGCCCAACAGAAAGACTCTCCCTGGAGAGGAGAGGAGAGAAGCCAGCTCTGGGAGCGGGGTTGTGTGGTGCCAAGTGTGTCTTTGAACCAAGACATCTCTAACATTTCTGGGCAGCCTGGCTCAGAGTCTGGATGTCCGGAGCCCGTGGGGAAACCTGGGCTGCAGAAGAGAGGTAGTACACCTGGTGAAGAAGCAGACAGGTGGCAAACAGGTGCTGGGGCCAGTGGCTGGCACTGCGCTCTTGGTAGACATCTTTTCTGAGGTCTGGGAACATCTTTTCCTCTAGATTCTGAGACAATAAGGTTGGGGGAGCAGACCTGGGGTAGGCAGGAAGGCCTTAGACCCTCGAGCCTAGAATTGAGGGGCTAGGAGCTGATGGCCCTTAGGGACAAGGTGGGGGCAATAGAAAGCCTCCTCCAGGACCCACAACTCCACCCCCCCCCCCATCCCTCACCTGGGCAGGGAAGATTCTGGCATTCCCCGTGGAGTCCCCCTGGCCTCCCTAAATGCCCCAAGAATCGTGGTAAATTAAGAATAGACTAACAAGTGGGAGTATTGGCCTCTTTTCTTTGCATCGAAGGTTTAAGGGGTTGTGTTTGTATGTACAAGTGGCAAGGTATGGCTGGTCATTGCACAGGGAGTTTATCCTTTGAGAAGTCATCTCATCCATCTCCCTGCCTCTGTGATGGTCATTTCACGTTCCAGGTGGGGGCAGCTTCCTCCTAGTTCTCCCAGTTCACAAGGAAGAAGCATGATCAGTTTCCTCACAGTCATGAAGTCCTCCTGAGAGTCTAACTAAAGTCTCTGCTGCTGCAGGATCCAGCTCTGCTTGCCCCACGGTTCCTTTGGGCTGATTGGAGGGTGCAGTGGGGGAGTAGGCATTGTACCCCAGTACTGGGCTCAGGCCCTTTGACCTTCTTGGTCATTCTCTGACCCACAGGACGCAGCAGTTCGAAAGGCATCATCACCTTGATGGAGGGGGCTGCATCCCTTGCTTTGGCCCCACACTGGTGGTGTTGCATGGACCCCGGGGTGGACTAGGCAGGACTGGGTGTTGGGGAAGGACGGAGGGGGTGGTGGCCGCCCTGGGCTCAGGATCCTCAGGGCGAAGGTGCCACGGGGAGAAGCACATGTCCTCCCAGGTCCCCGCCCCACCCCGCCTGCACTACCTCTGCCGAGCTCAGCTCCGGCTCCAGGGCCTGCCGAGGCACGCTGCCCCCCCAGGCCCGGCGCCTCACTCACCTCCCAGAGCCAGGAACCTGTTCTCCCGGGAATGCCAGGGAGTTCTCAGAGGACTTTATTTCCCAGGGGATCTGGGAATCCCAGAGTCCCCTGGACCAGTGAACTCTGGGATGGGGAGAGCATGAAGAATTTAGGGGTCTTCTTTATCTTTGCCCCATCTACACACTTCAATATCCATCATGAGAAGGAAGAAATCTCTAAAAAGCTACAGAGAATGGCAAAAGCCCCCAAGATGAAGGTTGTCGTGTCTCATCCTTGGCCTCTGGGGACCTTCCTTTAGCCTATGAAAAGGCTCATCTGCCCTCTAAGAAGGCGACACAACTCTTCCCTTGGACCCTCCATCCTTCCCAGCCCGGAAGTCCCTCCTGAAGTCTAGCCTCCCTCCTTCCAGCTTTAGTTAAGCCTAGTCTTTATAGATCAGCAGAACCCCCTCCCTGCCTGCCCAGGACCCATGCACATTGCCAGAGATGGTTATTAACTCATGTTGAGATTTCCTGGAGGCATGTGTGCAGGAAGGAACAGAAAGCCCCATGTCTGCTATGCTTCTATAGCCCCTCTCACTCCAGTATTCAAATGAGGAGGAGGCTGCTAGGAGCCCCTTCAACTTTGCCCAGGTTTCTTGTAATAGAGGGATGGATGGGACAGAGGTCCTGCAGGTAGGTGCCCTTCTTTCCTTCTGAAACTCAGCCCCCTAATCCCCACTGAGGTTTATAGGGAGGAGGTGAGCAAGACAAGCTCCTGCAGCAGGAAGGCCTGCTTCAGAGAGGCTTTCAGCTTTCGGATGAGTTTGGCCAGATTGTGTGGCCAGGAGGTGGTTTCCTGAGTGGAGAGACAATCATTGATCTGGGATGGGTGAGGTTGGGCTGGCAGCGTGCCTGGGAGCAGGGGAATGACACAATGACCTTGGGGTGCCTTGCAGAAGCATCAGGCAAATGGTGTCTGGATGATTTTGGGCTTTCTAACGTATCCACTCCAACCTCCACCTATTCCTCCATCTTTATGCACATCTCCAACCTCAGTCTCAACCGCATTCCTAAATCACCCCCATCTCTCTCTCCCCATTCCCACTCCAATCTCAGCCCATCCCCTTCCTATAATCTTCCCCCTCCCACCTCCAGTCTCAGCCTCAGCTCCACAACCTCAGCCCCTCTCCTCCCCTATCTCCTCTCCTCAGCTTCACCTCCTTCTCATTCTTAATACCATATTCCCATCCCACAGATCCACCATCTACCAAGTGGATTACAAATCAGTCCAATTCCCTTGTCCCCCATTTTACCAAAGTGTTGAGCCCAGAGCTGTGCCACTGGGACGAACGGATTAGAGAAGCCTCAAGTTCCCGATCCTGTCTGGGCATTAAAGACTGGATGCTGGCCAAACAGTGACAATCAGCTCAGGTGACTCAGAAAAGTCTAGATCTGCTGTTCAGGTGGACTTAAGTCTTAGGAGAGTGGCAAGTGAACTGGAAATGGAAATCATGCTCAGAGGGTCCCCAAGGACAGACTGTGGCCTGTCTGAGTCCCAGGCTGAAGCAGAAAGGCCCCCCAGGCTGCTGAGGAGTGACTGCAGCTGTGAACATCTCGGGTCTCTACCCTGCCTGTGGCTCCTGCTTAGTCAGCTCAGATTAAAGGGGCTGGGGAGAGAAATAGCTGAATCGTGATCTCTCTGGAAACTTGAGCCAGCTGTGAGTCACACAGAGAAGGGAACCCAGGCTCTCACAAAGGCTCTGGAAGCCCCATAGAGTAGGCATCCCAGGCATCCCTACCGCCCAAGATGCAATCGAGAGCCTACCCAGGTGGCAGCTCTGGCCCTAACTTCCACCTTGTGCTCCCTGAGGAAATGGATAGCCCACCAACCTGAAGCCCTCCTCTCATGTACCCTCCAAGGACCTTCAGGTCTCCTCCACTTTGAAACTACTGTTCTGAAAAACTTTAGCCAGCCTGGACAGACACACACACACACACACACACACACACACACACACACACAAGAATGAGGTGTGTCCAGGAACCGGATTGCTGGGAGACAGTTGGAGGTCCCACCTACACTTGTAAATTCCACAGCTACATCCCAGGCTGCATCAGCCCATCAGCCTCAGAAGATGTAGGATGTGTGAGAGTGCGCGTGCGCACACGTTCAGCACCATCATCAGAAAACCCACTTTTCAGACTCTGCACTTAACAGTCTCTCTCTCTCTCTCTCTCTCTCTCTCACACACACACACACATACACACACACGTACGTACAGAGCTGAATGACCACAGATATCTTCACTGCCCATGGTGTCCCCAGCTCCCTCTGGGAGGTGGTTGCAGAAATGCACATTGGACCTCACAAGTGTGTGACTTTGAAGAGATAGCTCAATCTCTCCAAGCTTGGTCATATCCATCGCTAAGCTACAAGCCAGAAGAAGGATTTTGGGGTGTTGAGTTCTTTAGTGGGACAGTGCCAACCCCAGGAAGATCTGGGGGGGGGTGGTCAAGGAAGAGAGATGAAGTCAAGGAATTATGTAGGCTCAGGAAAACACCCCCAGAACTTCCATTCCCCACATCACCCCATGGAGTGAGACCATGATCACTCAATCAGCTCATCCCAGGCCAGCCACCTGTATAGCAGGAAATTACACCTTACCCCTGATGAGGGTCTCAATTTCCTCACTTGTAAAATTAAGGGGGGCTTGCATAGGATAGACTGCCAGTGTACTTCCATTTCAAGATTTGATAAAGCTAAGCATATCTGCTGTTGGTGGCTTCCCGGCATCGTGTGTGTGTGTGTGTGTGTGTGTGTGTGTGTGTTACGTACACAGTATAGAGGGAGGAATGTACCAATGTGTATTTGTCTCGTGCTAAATCTGTGTATTATTAGTAATGGCAGCAAAATTAATATCCCTAATAACAGATTGGTAATAATGAGTAGTCTAATAATGATATGTACAGAGTCCAGACAGGTCCCTTGCCCTAGGGATGGTGGAATCTTGGTCCATTTCGTGCCCCCGCCCCCAAGGTAGCAAAGAGGGGATCTACCAGATGGATGAATGCATCCCTAACCACCTCCATGGAGAGGACTCCTAGGAATGGAAAATATTTATGAAGCATAATATCTGTTTTCATCCCTCTCCTGAAATTCCAGTGGCCTAGCACCCGAGGAGGCGGCAGCGGCAACCAGACAAGATGGCACAGGTTTCTTTCTATTCCTCAGAGTATTTTTTCTCCTCAGTGCTCAGGACAGCCTGGTGAGGAATGTAGGGTACGAATGAGGATCCCTTTTTATAAAGCAGGAAATGAGGTTCATTCCACGATGATGGCAGAGGAGGGAGTGCGAGTATCTGCGGTCTTTGCTCAGGAGGATCCCCTTTGAGGATGAAAAAATGGACTTTGCATGGTCAGGGCTCCGTGAAAAACTCCGGAG